GGCTGAGGCAGGAGACTCACTTGAGCCCAGGAGTTGGAGGTTGCTGTGAGCTGTGATGCCACAGCACTCTACCCAGGGGGACAGCTTGAGGCTCTGTCTCTTAAAAAAAAAATTGATTGTGGCAGATTTGGGGCAGAAATGACCAGATGGACATGTGGAATGCTAAGTTTCTTCGCATTAGGAGTAAATTTTGGTGGCGAGGGATCACCACTCTACTTCATTATGATGAATCTACTAGCTGCGGGGCACCTTTCACACTGATTGGGGCAAGATACCCAAGGAGAGGCTGAGAAGAGAACTGACGCCCTCACAGCCAGGCTGTGGCTGCAACATGAGAGGGTCCCTGGGGGTGTGTGGGTGTGTGTTGGTGTGCACCCACGTGTGCGTGGTGCAGACCCATGTGTATGTTTGTGTATTCAACTGGTCCTTCAATAACGACATCTTTTCAGAGGTTTCTGAGAGTGTTATGTGATACTGTGGGTACAAGTGATTCCTTATAATTTGTAAATATGCCCATAGTCCTCTTGTGTTTTGGGAGATTGTGCTCCTAGAAATCGGTTTCAGTGCTGAGGCAGGGATGAAGAGAAGCAAAGAGGCACGATTTCTCGGAGCAAACTTTTCCTTCTTTCCTCCCAGAGCCATTCACTCTGTCACTCATTCAAGAATAACAAGCCAGGCACTCTTCCACTCCAGGGATGCAGTCTGGGACCCTTCTCTCAAAGGGGATGGTGCTGGTGCAATAGTTAGCTTTTTCTACATAATAGACCACTCCCAACCAGCTTAGGGACTTAGAACAACAACCAACATTTGGCTCTGGTTCTCTGTTTTGTGCTGCTTTTTTTTTTTTTTTTTAAGAGACAGGGTCTCCTTCTGTCCCCCAGGCTGGAGTGCAGTGGTGGGATCATAGCTCACAGCAATCTCGATCTCCTGAGCTCAAGCTATCCTCCTGCCTCAGCCTCTCAAGTAGTGGGAACTACAAGTGTGTACCACCATGCCCCAGTAATTTTTGGTAGGACATTCATCCTACTGAATGTCCCACTATGTTATCCACGCTGGTCTTGAATTCCTGGTCTCAAGCGATCCTCCCACCTCAGCCGCCCAAAGCACTGGGATTACAGACATAAGCCCCTGTACCTGGTCTGACTCCACTTCTTTGGATCAGCAGCTTGGGCTGCGCTCAGCCAAATTATTCTTCTGGATTTGGCTGGGCTCACTCAGGTGAATGTGGTCAGTGTAGCTGCTGGTCCAAGATGGCCTCAGTTGGGACCTTCACCTCTTCTTTAGTGATCTATCATCCTTAAGCATCCAGACTTGTTCATCTGAGAGCTAGCAGGGTTCTGAGAGAGAGCAGAGGCATGCAGGACTTCCACTGCATTCAAAAGGTCAAAACAAGTGATAGCCCAGCCCAGATTCTAGAGATGGAAAAGTGGGCCCCACTTGTTGACAGGAAGAGCTGAAAAGTCACATTGCAAAGGGACTTGATGCAGGGAAGAGTGGAGATTGACAATCATTTTTGCAATCTGTCTACTGAGAATGGTTAGTGCACACGTGTGTGCAAGCAGATGATCTAAACACTTTGCACTGAGGTCAAAGATTTAAGTGATGACTCTATTAAATCTCAGCATGACTTGTCTACATGTTTTGGGTAAGTTTTAGAGAAAGTTTGGTCATAGTGGCATTTGTTTCATTTTGTTGTACTTGAAAGAAAGATGGTACTTGAGGGCTGAGCTAGGTGGCTCATTCCTATAATCCTAATGCTCTGGGAGGCCAAGGTGGGTGGATTGCCTAAGCTCCCAAGTTTGAGACCAGCCTGAGCTAGGGCGAGATCCCACCTCTAAAAATAGCTGGGCATTGTGGCTGGTGCCTGTAGTCCCAGCTACTGGGGAGGCTGAGGCAAGAGGATCACTTGAGCCCAAGAGTTTGAGGTTGGCATGAGCTGTGACACCACAGCACTCTATCCAGGGCAACAGAGTGAGACTCTGTCTCAAAAAATAAGAAAGACGGTACTTGAATACAAAGCCTAATGTTCATTGAGCATTATGAGTGAGAATTTGTATACACAAAAGTTTTAAAATTTAACCTGATGGGGCATAAGACCATGAGATTTTGTCCCATGTGCTCCATGAGGGCGGGGAGTATTTGTCCTGTTGACCAGTGACCAGCTCTAGCACAGGGCTGGACCCATAGTTAGCACTCAGTGAAATGCGTGGAATGAAGGGTCAGTGCAAGACTTGAAATGACGTAATAGGGAAGGTGCGGGAAGGTGCAGGGAGGCAGCCTGGCTGAGCCCTGGGAGCCTGTATTTGAATTCTACAAGGCTTGTAAGAATGGTCTGGCAATCTGATGTGGTTTTTGTCTGAGGATTTGTGGACAAGACACGATGGGGTGGCAGGACCTCTGGATATCATAGGCCTGTCCTTATCTAAGCATAAAACATACATGCATTTGACATTAATCAGCTAAGTTTACTCATCATCTACCACTTTCCATTTTTGGCTGAGGGCACGAGTAATGTGAATGAGCTTAAATTTTAGGAGCAGATCAAAAGAGATTGTTAAATTTTATATATAACTCAGCAAGTCTTAAATAAGCAAGATACAGAGTTTTATTCTCTAAGGGCATTTAGAAATAAGCCTACTGATCTAGTTTCAGGGCCCAGGAATGCACCATGTGACACCTCAATGCTTCAGATGGACCTTGGTTTTGGAGCTCTGTGAATTTTGTCTTTTGAAGTTGCAAAGTTGAGTGGGAGAATCTTTCTGTTTCAATATTTGAGTTTGTCTTCTAGAAGGACTTGAGTTTCAAAGACATTGGAAGAAGGGAGAGCCCAGAGGGCTTCTTGCACCTCCCTAACCCATGTGCTTCCAATCTCATCAAACTATCCTTACATTCTGGTTTCCTCACTGTGGGGCTATTTGTTCTTACTCAGTTTGGATTCAGAATACTTCACAGCATTGTCTCACGACGCAGAATTTTACAAAGAGCAAATCAGTGTTTTAAAAGGTGCCTCTTTTACTTAATTATAACATGCACACAAAGCATAAGGTAACATATCAATGGATTATCAAAGAATAAACAAAAATATTTAGCCATGACACAGGTCAAGAAGTAGAATATGTCCCCAAAGTCCTCCTTGTGCCCAGACCTAGTCATTACCCCTTCTCTCCTACCCAAGTGAAACCACCATCATGGCTTTTAACATCATAGAGTCGTTCTGCCAGTCTTGCAACTTTATGGAAATAGAATCACAAAGAGTGTGTTCTTTTGTACCAGGCTTCTTTTGCTCAACCTTGTGGGCTTAAAATTCATTCTTGCTGCTGCAAAACAGTGGTTGGTTCATTTTCGTTTATGTGTAGGTTTTCCCTGTATGAATATGCCACAGTTTATCTATCAGTTTAGCAGTGAATGGACATTTGAATTGTTTGCAGTTTTGGATTATCATGAACAGTCTTGTGCATGTCTTTTGGTGCCCATATGCACATGTTACTGATGAGAGTATATTTAGGAGTGGAACTGTTGTATCATGGAGCCTTCCATATGTTCGATTTTAGTAGAAATGCCTAAACAGCTTCCATACTGGTCGTTCCAATTCACACTCCCACTAACAGTGCTGTTAACACTTGCTGTTGTCATTCTGTTTAATTTTAGCCATTCTGGGGCTACGTAATCGTGCTTCATTATGACTATAATTACCATTTCTTTCTCACTAATGAGGTTGAGCATCTTTACATGTCTAATGACTATTTAGACATCTTTTGATTCAAGTATCTTCCCAACTTTTCCATGGTTTGTCTATCTATTCAGTACTTATTTGTTTGAGTTCTTTTTAAATTCTGGCTACGAGTCCTTTGGAGGTTATATGTGTTGCAAGTATCTTCTCCAACTCTGTGCCTTGCATTTTAACCATGGTGGCTTTTGGTAAATGGAAGTTCTTAATTCTAATATTATCCAATTATCTGTCCTTGGCCCAATGCCACCACAGCCTTAAAATTCACTATGGCTTGGCATCTATAGCTCAGTGGCTAGGGCGCCAGCCACATACACTGAAGCTGGCAGGTTCAAATCCAGCCTGGGCCTGCCAAACAACAATGACAACTACAACCAAAAAATAGCCAGGTGTTGTGGTGGGTGCCTGTAGTCCCAGTTACTTGGGAGGCTGAGGCAAGAGAATCACTAGAGCTAAAGAGTTTGAGGTTGCTGTGAGTTGTGACAGCACAGCACTCTACCTCAACCCAGGGTGACATAGTGAGACTCTGTGTCAGGGAAAGAAAAAAAAAAAGTAACTCAGTATTTTAGTATATCTTGAAATTGGAGTATGTCCTCCAGTCTTTTTCTTCTTTTTCAAGATCGCCTTGTCTATTCTTGTTCCATTGCATTTCCATAAATTTTAGCATCTACTTGTTAATGTCTGAGATTGATTTTTATTAGGATTGTATTGAATCTATATAGATCAACTTGGACAGAATTGACCACTTGGTAATGTGAGCCTTCTACTCCATGATCGCAGTACCTGCCTCCATTGATTTAGGTCTTCTCTGGTTTTGTTCAGCAGTATTTTGTACCATGCCATGTACAAATCTTCCACTTCTTTTGTTAGATTTATTACCAGGTGGCGTTCATTTTTTTATGCCATTGCAAGTGGCATACTTTTAAATTTTGGGTTCTGTTTATTGCCAGTATGTAGAAATACAATTGATGTTTTATATTCATGATCCAGTGCTCTTGATACATTTGTGTATTCATTATAATGATCTACATGTAGATTCTTTGCATTTATCTGTAATGCACAGTCACATGATCTGTGAACAAGGACAATATTATTTATTTTGTTCCAGTCCTTAAAGTGTTTTATTTCCTTGTGTTCTGCACTGACTTAGTACCTCTGGACCTAATGAGGTTCTTCTCTCTTTCCTCCCAGATGAGGCTGAGGCACATATTGACTATGAAGATAACTTCCCTGATGACAGATCCGTGTCATTCAGAGAGCTCATGGAGGATTCCCGGACAGAGGCGGAAGAGGACAGGGGTCAGGAAAAAGGCTCTGAGGAGGCTCCCAAACAGGACCGTCTGCTCTCCATTTCTCTGGGGAGAGAAGGCATAGCTCAGGGTAAAGCCTTCATGCTGACCACAGGTTTGCCCGGTGCCAGCAGCAGCAGCCCCGCAGACTTGCCAGAATCTCGACTGAACCAGAAGTACCTGTTCTGGTTTCCTGCTGAGACCTTCCATAAGCCTGAGCTGGAAAAGGAGGTAGATGATAATAGCAAAAAGCAGTTTCCTTCTGGAGACAACCACAGTGGCATAAAATTTGTCCCAGGTAAACCTGAAACCAAGGTGATCTATAGCAGCACTGATGGCCCCTCGGGGCCCTTTCTGGGCAGGAATGACAGCAAGGCAGGGGGTACAGCGGTGCGCAGCACCGACGGGTCCTGGTTAGATGGCTACCCGGTGACAGATGGCACTGGGAGAAAGACAGAGGCAGAAGAGGAAGAAGATGGGGACAAGGGGGATGGTTCAGTAGGACTGGAAGAAACAGTGCCAGTCACCGCTGGTCAGCCCGTTCTCGTGGAAGTTAAGAAGCCCAGGAGTACCACCCTCACACCACACAAGGACATGGCCTCTAGCTCTGTTCTTCCATCCCAAATGCTGGATGTGGAGGCTTTGGCTCTCAGACCCATGAATGTGTCTGAGACTGAGGGTCCCCACACTGTGGATGGTGACTTGACCAACTACCAGTCAACTGTGCTGTGGAGATTCACCACAGAGAAGTCTCCCATGGCCACCCTACCCTATGAACTCACCAACTCTACCCTGGAGACATTAACAAGTGCTGTCCAGCAGATGCCTAACAACATCCCCTCAACAGTCACGGTGGCCACCCAACCTCCAGCGGAGACCACAGCTCCCGAGGTCCAGGACAGCTTCCCATACCTGCTGTCTGAAGACTTTTTAGGACAAGAAGGTCCCGGGCCAGGTGCAAATGAGGAGCTTTTTCCAACCTTGGGGCCATGTGTGGGGGGCCAATGTCCCAGCCTCAGTAGAGGCCCCATGATTGCCACTGTCGTCACTGTCACTGTCCTGCTGCTGCTCCTAGCAGGTGTCGGGGCAGTGTGGGGTTACCGCAAATGCCAGCACAAGAGCTCTGTATACAAGCTGAATGTTGGCCAGCGGCAGGCTCGGCACTACCACCAGCAGATTGAGATGGAGAAGGTCTAGCCACCTACGAGGTGGGCTGTCCCAGAGCCACTGGGAGGAAAATTAACAATGACACATCACACTGATGAACACTGATCATTCACAAGAGCATGAAGCAGGTAGGGTGGAGTTCACCATTTTTTCCCTCAGCCCTTTGTTCGGTAGGCTGAGAAGTGACATGGCAGGACAGGAAGGCTTTGGTGGCATCATCACACACGTCAGTATCTCCTCAACTATCTGTCCTGGAATTCATTGCACTAATCCCAGACCTGTGCTTTGGCCCCAACTCTAGCATGAGGTCAAAAGCCACCTCCTATGTCCTCATACTATTATCTTCTTTTCTCTTTTTAAAAAACAAAATCATTGGCTTTGTACCCTGAAATTGTTCCACTAGGCGTGATGAGGTGAGCTTTGGAGAGCAGTGTTATTTAGGACACAGCTATTTACTGTTGAGAGTGGGACAGGGAAGAATCATAGGCTACTTCCTTTTAATGTTGTGACGTTGCTGAGGGCAGATGAACCAAGAACCAGGACACAGTCTAGACTCTAGAAACTTTGAGGTTCTTTTTTAATTGTTTCTTGAAATTGGAGAGAATTGGAGAAATTGGAGAGACTGGCATTTCCTTGGGGGGAGGCGAAGAGACGCACATCCACCTCTGTTCCCTCCATTCTCTGGGACAGCTCATCGTTTTTTAAAAACAAAGTTAGCTTTATACCCATAAGTACCATTTCCTCCCAGAAGCAGTGGCCTAGTTGTCCTTGACCAGTCTGCCTAGGAATGTCTTGGAATTTTTGCCAGGACCAACAAAACCCAGTCCTTGGTTTCCTCTCTCAGGATTAGCCATTTCTCTTAACTCCACAAAGAGGGAATGACATGGGAGAAAAAAATGTTTTAAGAGGCCCAAAAACTAGGATATCAAATGTGGGTGCCTACTTGATAGAGAAGCAGAGGAATTAGAATGACCTGGGCTGACCTGTTCTTTGGTGTGGATATTGTGAGCTCTGTGGAAAGAATCCATCCTGACTACTGGGCAACCATTTCCTACATCTAAGGGTGGCACAGCAAGTATTGTTTATGGCAGTGACTCTCCAGTATGCTCCCCAGACCAGCAGCATCAACGTCACCCGGGAACTTGTTGGAGATGCACATTCCATGCTCCCACCCCAGACTCAGAAAACAGAAACCCTGGGAGTAGGGCTCCGATCTCTGTGTTTTAACAAGCCCTCAACTGACTCTGATGCACACTCAAGTTTGAGAGCCATTGGTTTATGATAAATTGTGAGCTCTGAGATCAGCCAAAGCCCTAGAGGTACAGAACAGGATAACACCTGTGGCTGGTCTTGCATGGAAGTCAGCCATTGCTGCATGCACCTGAGGTGGCCTTTGAAGCTGCCAAAATGCCATCTGCAGTGGTCTCCTGTGAGTTGGCACAGATGCTAAACATGTTATATTCTTCTAGTACGATTCACTTCTTGGAAATAGTTATCAGTGGTTAAAAAGTGATCAAAGCAATACATTTATTTTGAGATACTAGAGAAGTCTAAGTGTCTTTGAGTGTCATGAGAGAAATCCTAATCCTTTTTGCAACTGAGAAATTGTTAGCGGTGTTTTCTCTAAAGAAAAAAATAATTCTCAGAACATATTTTTTCCCTGCCACCTCTTTTCAATGCAAGCTTTGGAAAAATAATAGGCCAAGGAGCCATAAAGACAGTCAGCATAATCAAGCTCTTAGTCTCCATAATTGGGTAAAATAAAGGCCTGGAGGTACCAATTGGAATGCGTAGGCATCAGATGGAGTCAAGTACAGTTGGGATAAAATGCTCTCAGCATGTTGCCAAAGCAAAACACAACAAATAAAAGCCAGAGAGTGAATGTAATTATAAATTAGATTCTAATCTATTACAAGACAATTTTTCTATTTTTAACTACACAAAATAATCTCTGCCTCAACGTTTGGATTGTGTTAGTAACTGTTATTATGTAACAACCCAGAACATTGAATTTAGACCATCAAATAAACAGGCATTATTAATGTGAATGTATTAATGAACACATTAAAAATTTTTAATACATGTAAATAATTTGTAGGCATGGACTGTGAAATAAACCCAACACATCAGTTTTTTCAGTTTTGTTGGTTTGCCATGATCTACATTGATGTTATACGATCTAAAAATGCACGTTGGAAGGGATTGATGTAAAGTGCTGTAAACCTAAATTGTATGGCATTATCCATTATGTTTTGAGACTGGTCATGGTCATGATAACTGGGAGGTGGAGTGGGGTGTTCTATTAACACAAAGCTTCTGAGAGGTTTAAAATAAATAATTATCTCCCCAACCATTACTGAATGTATTTTATTTCTGGGTTACTGCACCACGGTTAAAAAAGAAAAAAAAAAGAGGACTCTCTAATAATCTTCAAAAGCTCGAAAATAATGTCCTAATACTTGCTATATGTAACACTGCCCTCTCTAAATCTAGTTCTCAGCCTTGTTGCCTCCTGCAGCAGGACTTCAGGGACATCTACAGACCTCTTGCCCCCCACTCCCTCCCTACCTGTCTCTTTCTCCCCACAACCAGGCCACCACCCTTCACTTCCCTACAAGGAAACATGCAGCACCTCACTAGCCAAAGCAGTTCAGGCCCTACCTGGGAGCTTATTAGAAGTGCAGGGTCTCAGGACCCACCCAGACCTGCAGAATCAGACTCTGCATTTAACAAGATGCCCAGGGGACAGCCATGCATGGTAAAGTTGAGAAGCACTGGACTAAGAGACCAGAACTGATTATCTCCCTTCTCCCGACTGACAGGACACTCAAAGGAATAATTAAAGGGGATGATTTGAAGGAACTATTCAGGCTCGGTGCCTGTGGCTCAAGCGGCTAAGGCGCCAGCCACATACACCTAAGGTGGGGGGTTCGCATCCCCAGCCTGGGCCCGCCAAACAACAATGATGGCTGCAACCAAAAAAATGGCCAGGCGTTTTGGGGGCGCCTGTAGTCCCAGCTACTTGGGAGGCTGAGGCAGGAGACTCGCTTGAGCCCAGGAGTTGGAGGTTGCTGTGAGCTGTGATGCCATGGCACTCTACCCAGGGGGACAGCTTGAGGCTTTGTCTCAAAAAAAAAAAGGAACTATTCACAAAGCTGTGGGCAGGATTAAGAGAACCATCTAGGGATGGTGGAGACCTGTTAGGGAATCACCAATAGGAAAGACACAACAGAACAAGAGCACTGGACTCAAAGAGGATGCAGCCCCTGTCCAACTGTGGCCCAAAGAACAGCAATTTTATAGACCTAGACCTTCTCTCTCACCTTGAAATCTCTTGCTGGCATGTCCTAGTGGTAACGAGAAGTCAGAGGGTAAGGGAGCCAGGCAACATAGACCACAGGGGTCGGGCTCCTGGGGCTCAGGGCATGGTGGAAAAGAGACTGGAGTGAGGGGCATATAAAAAAAATCCAACTCAGAGACCATCAGCACCAATTCATCTGCCTGATGTCCCTTTCTACGTCTGTCCCTACCCAGGGTCCATGCTCTGGAGTGTTGTGGACACTGTTGACGCCCTTCCCAGATCTTCTTCACTAGGCTGGTGAACCCATCTCCCAGCTGCCCTGAGTGTCGGCTGCTAAAATGCTCATAAGCACCTAAGTGTACCCTCCTCACCCAGGAAACTGCCCTCACCCTACTGGGAGTTCTCTCAGCCAGGAAGTTTGACCCACCTTCTACTCTGCTAGCACTGCCTATAGCCAATGACTGGACGTTTGTGGACACAGAAGGCTGGCCTCCTTGCCTGGGGTGCAACTCCACGGTGGGATTCATGCACCAGACCTCCTGTGAGAGCTGGCTGCAGCTTGCCTTCAACTCAGATGATAGCCTGGCTAGGTCCTGCCTGTGTCCCTGTCACTCCTTCTCCTGAAAACACTCCATCACGGCCTTGCCTCCAGGGGTCCTGATCTAAGATGTCCATCAACACTCAACTCTTACTCCCTACACCTCCACTCACCCTTGGTCCACACTTTTTCAGTGTATCCTCTGGAATTCTTGGGCCAACAACACCAAAATCCCTTTGTCCTCCACCTTGTCTTCAAACAGCTGATGTGTGAACTCCCCACGATGTGGAGCTCTCTTTGTGCTGCCTCCCCACTCTTCCCGCCTGCCTTCCTCTACTTTTTTCTTTCTCCTTGCCTGCCCTGTAGTGACAAGCACGGAGCAAAGTTGCTATTGACTGTCATGTCGGAGATGCTTTGGGGCCTTGTTTGAAACAGATTCCAAATGTTTTTCCTGGTGGAATCTCAGACCTCTGAAAGAGAATGTTCCTGGGGAGAGGCATAAACTTCTACTGCCTGATAGGACTTTGGCCAGCTGATGACAGGCAAGGACCCACCCTGCTGCATGAGAGGTAGGAGTCTCTGGTGTTTCTGCTTTGTTAGAAATTTCACAAACCCAAGAAAACACAGCTCATTACAACATGTGCCCTAAAATGTGTTTAAGATCTTCCTACCCTGTGGATAGAAAACAAAGAATAAGGCTCAGCGCCTGTGGCTCAAGCGGCTAAGGCACCAGCCACATACACCTGAGCTGGAGGGTTCGAATCCAGCATGGGCCTGCCAAACAACAGGACCAAAAAATAGCCGGGTGCTATTGTAGTCCCAGCTACTTGGGAGGCAGAGGCAGGAGAATCACGTGAGCCCAGGAGGTAGAAGTTGCTGTGAGCTGTGATGCCACAGCACTCTACCCAGGGCGACAGCTTGAGGCTCTGTCTCAAAAAAAGAAAGAAAGAAAGAAAGAAAGAAAGAAAGAAAGAAAGAAAGAAAGAAAGAAAGAAAGAAAGAAAGAAAGAAAACAAACAATA